AAAGGAACCATGTTTTAAACAACTGGGAGGAATCTGTTAGAAAAAAAACAGTTTTTCAGAAATACCCTTTATAACACAAACAGATGGGACAAGGATGAAACATTATTCCATTGCTTGCAAACTTAGAAACTGCTGCTTGTTAACTGAATTAGAATTCAATTAGAATTCTAGAATGAGAATCAATTTGGAATTCTTAGAATTACTTGCTTCTTTAGTGATTCTTGGAAATTACTTGTTTTTCAGATTTAGCAATGTAATCATACACAACATTGCAATAATTCAGTGAATCCCTGGATGCATTAAATAAATTATAAAGGTCAACTGAAAATTATGGTAAATATGGAATCAGTTTCTTAATTATTATTTAACACAATATGTTAAAAATATTTTTTATCTTCCATTGAGAATGAAACATTTGGTGTATTTAAAATACTGAATATTGTAGCCTCCCCCATATCAGTACTCCAGAAGACCACACTCATAATAAAGTGTTTGTATTTTGCTAATATCTCACTTGTTTGTAATTAAGCTAATATTAGATGTGCTGAGGTAGGTAGGAATAACTTGCGTAATATCCCTATGCTTCAATATGATGATTTCTTTTCACAGAATTATACAACACAGAAGAAGCAGAAGCAGAAAAATTTTCCAAGCATATAGTTCATACATATGACACTGATTAGGAATTGTCCCAGATTTGATCCCAATCATAAACATTTACATTGACATTACAAAAAACAAGTTTAAAATTGAAAGAAATATTTCTAAATTATCAGTGATAAATGCCCATTAATCATGTTAGAGGAAAAACTTAAATTATCTAGTACAGAGGACAAAATCATTGTTTATGAAGAGATGATTAAGAACATGTAGTCTAAAATGATGTAAGGAATAAAAATACTATGGAGGGCATCAGGTCATTAATCAATAAAATATTGTTATTTTTGTCTTTCATATTTGTCAACTTGAAATTTACATTTTTAATAATTTTTTTCTTATTATAAATAATATTTACATTCTATCTAACTTTGTATTCTTTTTCTTTTTTTTTTTGGATAAAATACTTGGATGTAAAGCCTGAAACCATAAATACATGAAGAAAACATAAGTAAAATATTCAGTGGCATGAACCTCAGAAACATCTTTGCAGAATCATGTCCAGCAGCAAGATAAACAAGGGAGAAAATAAACAACTAGGACTAGATCAAACTAAAAAGCTTCTGTACAGTGAGAGAGACAGTGACCAAAACAGAGATACCTTACTGAATGGGAGAAAATATTTTCATACCATACATCTATCTGATAAGATATTAATATAGAAGATCTACAAAGCACTTACACATCTCAACAAAAAGAAAACAAACAACCCCACCAAAAAATGAGCAGAAGAGCTAAACAGGCACTTTTCCAAAGGAGACAGGCAGATGGACAACAGACATATGAGAAGATGTTCATTATCACTTATCAAAAGGGAAATGATAATAAAAACCACATTCAGATACCACCTCACACCTGAGAGAATGCCCACATCAATCCACAAACTAGTGCTGGTGAGGGTGTGGAGAAAAAGGAATCCTATAATTACACTGTTGGTGGGAATGTAGACTAGTTATTTCCATAGAGATGGAAAGAAGAGTGGAGATTCTTCGAAAGATTAAAAATGGATTTACCATATAAATCAGCAATTCCTCTCCTAGATACTTATACAAAGAGCAGAAAAACACTAATTTGAAAGGAAACTTGCCCCAGAACAGATGTATTCTTATTCTTAAATAGGGCATCGATTTATCAACCTAATCAATAATTCTCACAGTATCTAGAAATTCAGTGTTCAATGAGTAGAAAATCCATGTTTCCAGTTTATTCCTCCCATCCTTTTTTGTGGAAATCATCTTTAACCATTTCACTCTTGAATACATTCTATCAGAAAACTATCAAAAAACAGAAGATGGAAACTCCTCCATTGTTTGTTAATAGATATAATAATAGTCATGGGACTAGTCCTTCAAATATGTTCGTTTCAAATTTGTCCTCCCAATCAGTAAAAGAACCGGGATTCTTTTTCTCTAAAGTTGGTTGAGAATTTGGGGAAGACTATTTCCAGTAGGACTGAACTATTTCTGATAACCAGAGATTCTGATTGAAGAGTTTTATACTGAAAAATGAGAAGAGTCTTACCTGAGTTTTTGTTGTCGTGAGTAATTCATTGTAAGTTGGTAAGTAGCTATAGTGTACGCTGGACTTTCGAAATTTGACTGATGGTCCTTATTGTGAGAGGCTGTAAGTAGGTTTTTTTTTTTTTAATGATTTGTTTGAAGGTTCAGAGAACCTGTGAGGCTTTTTTTTTTTTTTTAAAGGTTTATTTATTTATTTACACAAGCACTGGGTACAGTCAGAAGCGCAGGAGAGAATTCATCAGAGCCAGAGCGGGGAGCAGAGCAGGCAGAAGGACCGCAGCACACTGCTGAGGGGAGCAGCGGGTAGCAGGAGAGGTCTGAGCGCCATGTGGGACCCTCGCTGGTGGCGGGGGATCGAACTGGTGCTGCAGAAGCTGCGGGCAGCTTCGCAACCCAGCGCTCAAGCACTGCGCCACTGGGGAGGCCCGAAGCTGTGTTTTTTTAAAAATATATGAAGTGCATTTTAGAAAGCAGTAACGATAGTGGCATTTTATAAGGGTATGATTTTATAAGGGAAAATGATGGTAAATGTTGAATAAAATGATCCCTAAAATGTTTTCTAGCACCCAAATTCCTCTAATTCCTCTTTGTACATAACTGGGACTCGTCTTCAACTTGGATTCATAGAAGGCACAGTAAGTGCCATATTTCATCAACATAATTAATTGGGGAAGGAAGTGCCATATTTCATCAACATAATATGCAATATTCATAGCTGGAAATTATTAAAGTTGATTTCAGAGTGTAGAGAAAATCCAAAAATGAAAGAAAAATCATTTGATCTTTCTTTTATTTATTTATATAGTGAACTAGGAAAAAATCCTTTTCCTTTTAAGCCAATCACAAATGATGGGTGTGCCAGTATGTAGCGCAATTGGTGTGTATTTGATGCATGTTTGAAATGACAAGGGATTCAATGGTTCAGGGGTATTTTGCCAGGAGGTAGGCAATAGGAGTAGGGGAAGTGGGAGACCTGTTTGCCATTTTATTTTTAACCATTCTAATAATAAAACAACTGTTTTTTTGAGAGTCATAGCAGTTGTTCAACTTAGTGTCACAACCTGAGAATGATTTATGTAATGGTAAGTTTTCACTTTTGTGGGAAGGAATTATAGTGATTGGTTCTAGAAAATCTGAATAAATGTTTCCTGATTTGTGTCTCTATTCTGGCCCTAGCAGCTGGTATTGCACAGAGCTTAGGGTTTACTGGTAGTAATACTAATTAATGTCATACACATTCATCTAAAAGTGTCCATTCGATGATAAACAACTGTACTTTGCATGATACAAAGTGGCTGAAAATGGATCAAAAGAACAATACTTCTGTGAGGTCAATTCGCTTTTCAGACACACAACATCTATTCCCAGAGGGAATAGGTGGATGAGGGAAAAGGTGGGATTGCTTTCCTGCCTCCTAAAACCTGTTTGGTAGGAGACCCTTAGAGCTTGAGCCTTTCAGAAAGCCAAATGATGGGTTACTTCCAGGTCCAAGAAGCTTGCTAGGATTTCGGAGGAAACTAGAAGTGGTTTGATGTGAGTCTGAGTTTTGCCTTCCAGGTGTAGCATTTTAGTGCTAGTTAAACTGCTCTTCTTGCTGATGAGGTGATTTCACGGTGAACTCTAAAAGACTGCATTGTTCAGCGTCTGGCCCCAAGAACAATGAAGCACAAATTAGCTGTATCCAATCACTCAGAAAAACGTACCGTCATCATCAGCTCTCTGACATTACCTCTCCTGCCCTCTTTCTTTTTAGTGCAGAAAATAAAATAGCTTTTAGGCAAAGAAAAAGATGTTCGAAAATATGACACCAATTTCTCTAAAGAAAAAAAGGAATATTTTTAACAAGAAAAATATACTGTAGTTTCAAACCAAATTTGTGATAAATATCAGTTATACTTCAAAGAATTTAAAAATGGAATAGTTTATATCCTCTTAAATACCTAGAAATTCGTATGAGTTTGTCCTTAATCATATATGTCCATCCTCCTTTGTTATGAGGGTAAATGAGGGTAAACGAGTCACAACAGAGTCTATAAACTCCAATTAACCATTATACTCTACCCCAAATGCAATGTACAACATAGTGCATTTGTGGTGAAATATCTAGGGAATAATATGGGATTATTAGAAATTGCATTAAATTATCATGCATCTGTGATGCTGTTTTAGATATTTAGCCAGCATTTTACTAGAGTAGTAATACATGTATTGGAATTACCAGAGTGTGAGTTAACCAAAATGGGATTTTTTGGCTAAGTTTTACCAGTGTATATCCAAAATAATTCTCACACCATCAAGGTAACTCTAAAACTTTAAACAGATTATAATTTGAGCATGAAATAAAGGAGAATAAAAATCTCTATATAATGACTAAGATTAGGTAATTATAAAAATAAAATAGCCTAACTGAAAATCTATAAATGAATGCTGAGAGCCTTTGAAGACACTCAGCTTCTATTCATGGCTATTATTTATTCATGTAGTTATTCATTCATCAAATATTCATTAAGCCCCCAATCTGTCCCAGGCATTTGGTTAGACATTTTATGAAACAATGAATGGCTATTTTCTCTTTCCTAAATTACTAGCCTATCAATAGTCTATCATCCAATCTGCAGAAATACTTAATTAACCCACTGTGGAAGTTATCAGGTAATCTGGTGATAGACTGTGAGTCAGAATTTTAAGACTATTTTCAAGACTGTCTAGAAGAGAAAGGATCACTAACCTTCAATGGACTTATTCAGCCCACTTAGCAAGTGAAATAATGGTAATAATCACATCAATAAAGTTTGGAGTCAGAATTTGAGTCCAGATTTTCTTGATTTCAAAACCCATGTCTTCCATACATAATGGGGTTTATGCATGTGCTTAATAGCTTGATGACATTCATCATAAACTATTCTTTAACTCTTGCTCCATTTTTATCCAGCATTGTCATCCAACTCCTGTAAAAATTCCGTTAAATATTTTCCTTTGAGGCAGATGCTAGTCCACCAATTATTTTGAATGATTAATTCGGTTGAAAAGATATTTTAAAAATTCTTTTTTTTTAAAGATTTATTTATTCATGCATATAAGAACTGTGGAATAGGCCAGATGTGTGTGTGTCGGGGCGGAGGCGGGGGGGGCGGTGAGAGGATTCACCAGAGACAGAGTAGGGAACAGAAAAGGCAGATTGACTGAAACACCTGCTGAGGGGAGCAGTGGGAAAGACAGGAGAGGTTTGCCTTGCCATGTGGGTATCTCCCCAGCCAGCCAGGATTGAACCCATGCTTCCAAGGCTGTGGATAGCCTCACAGCGCTGCCCTCAACCACCTGTGCCACCGGGGAGGCCCTTTTAAAAATTCTAATGAAGCAATTTTGCATTGTGATTTATACTGCCTCTTCAGTACAGGGGTTACTTCTGAATATGTTCACAAAATGGAGTTTTTGTCTATGGAACTCAAGAAAAATGTAATAGTTTAAAAAATAATCACTAACTTATAGAAAGTTTCAAGTACATTACAAAAAATTTTTTTCCTGACCAAATTTGAGTTTTCAACATGATGCTCCATAGCCACCAAATACTTTATTTTTTATAAGCTTGGTCATTCTTTCATATAACACAACCCACAGATGATCATAACCAAGATATAGGATTAGTTATTTTGTGGGATAACCCATAAATTGGGTTTGCCAGATATTTCTTCATGATTTGATTCAGTTTTAGCACATTTAAGAAAAACCATTACACAATTGGTGCTGTTTTTCTCTCATTATATTCTATCAGATGGAATGTGATTTCTCTACGTCTACTTTCATCACTTTATGCAAGTGGTGCCTATCACGCTTATTCTTTGTGGAATAACCCTTTTTATCTTAATAGTTAATAATTAAAAACATTTGTGGTTAAATAACTTGAGAATATGCAAATATCTTCATCTATCCATCATGTATATCAGTGTTGACTCATGCTTTGGGTTGCAATTGTTACTGTGATTATGTACACTCAGATTCTCCAACATTTGGTCAATGGCAGCCACTTCAATCTGGCTTCTTTGATGGGTCTCCATAATTCCTGAGCACTTAATTTGTAACAGAACATGATGTTTCAGGTTCATCTTATCTTTTTTCTTTTACAAAAAGAATCAAGCTTTTCTCTAAAAAACCCTGGTTTCAGTGGAGAAAGATATTTGAAATGAAGACATGTGGATTAGGTATGGATGTTGCTTTTGAGGTATCACTACTTCCAGGAACTTTCTGGGAATAAGTGAGGGTTCACATTTATGCTGATGTGTGTGATGGTCTTTCTGATGTGCAACAAAAGTGCAAATCTTAGATATTTAATCTAACACTAATCCAGTGCAGTGGAGGCATTTGCCCAAGTGACTAAAGTCCGTAATCAATTGACTTTAAATTAGAGAGATTATCTCAGATAATAGTGTGGAAGGGCCTGATTCAATCACTTAAAAGACCTTAAAAGCAGAGCTGAAGATTTCTTGAATAAGTTCTGTCTATGCTCAGAAGTTCTAGCCCACCCTTTCTGAGAGCAATCACACTCCCTCCATATTCCAACTTTGTCTAGTCAAACCCCACAATTGCATGAACCAATTCCTTTCAAAAACCTCTAAATTTCTATCTCCTGTAACTATGTCTCATAGATCTATATTTGTTTCTTTATCTACCTTTATATATAGAAAAACAAATTATACCAAAACATACTATTTTAATCTAATACCCAGTTTTATCACTTGTAACTCTGATATTAAAATTTTGGGTTATCACTACCCTTAATATGTTTACTTGTGATAGCAATTCTCATTGATGTAATCTATTCACTGGCACTTTTATCTACCTTTCTTTCTAAAATGGCTACCCTCCTTACCACACTCTGGGTATCACAGCCAGCCCCAGGTTGACTCACAGTGTCAATGCCTTCCTCTATTTTATATACTCTTGCACTCATACACTGTCCTTCTTCTACACGGAGACCCTCTTCACTCTACTTAGTCCCTGATATCCAGTGCTGGCTACTCTTGCTGAAACCCTCTTTATCCCTGGGATCCTTGGGAAACTCAACCTGAGATACTCTGTGCCAGATTATCCTCCTTATACAAAAGCTTGCCTCACCTCACAGACTTGGACATCTTGAATTCATTTCCCAACCCTTGTACAAATGCCTCTGAACCAGGCTCACACGTCTTGCTCTGGACAATGACTGATCCATCCCAACCTACCCCACCTCACCTCAGTCACATAGAAACCTTATTCAGCTTCACCTAATGCCTCTCAGTACAGGAAAGGAAAAATAGAGGAATGGGACAAATTGTAGTAGATATTCTCTATCTAGACCAGCAGTTTTCAATCCAGAATGATATGTTGCTTCCAATTTGGGGGGATTACAAATAATGCTGCTGTGAACAAATGTTCTGTCAGGTTTTGTGAGGCCAAGACTATGTCACAGGGCAAGCATATGCTTAGTTTTGTTAGAATGACTATGTGCTTTCCCAGAATGACTATCCCAGCTTATGTTCCCATTATTAAAATATGAGTGATTAAATTTCCTTATATCCTCACCAGCATTTGATATTATCACTTTTTATTTTATCTATTTTGATAGGTATGTAGTGATAACTTACTACATGTTTTTATTTTTATTTTTTTAACTTTTTAAAAATTTTTTAATTTTTTTATATATTTCTTATATCATTTTTCATTTTTGCTGGTGGGAGTGCAAACTGGTCCAACCACTATGGAAAGCTGTAGGGAGATTTCCTCAACCTATTACAGATAGAACTTACCACATTTTTAATTTACTTTTCTCTAGTGGTTAATGATGCGAAACATCTTTTCATGTGTTTTTTTTTTTTAATATTTATTTATTTATTTATACAAGCACTGGGTACAGTCTGAAGCGCAGGAGGGTAAGAGAATTCACCAGAGCCAGAGCGGGGAGCAGAACAGACAGACTGACAAAATACACTGCAGAGGGGAGCAGCAGGCGCTTCAGGAGAGGTCTGAGTGCCATGTGGGACCCTCGCTGGTGGCCAGGGATCCAAGCGGCACTGCAGAGGCTGCGGGCAGCATTGCAGCGCAGCGCTCAACCGCTGCACCACCAGGCGAGGCCCTTCATGTGTTTGTTTTACATATCCTCTGTAGTGAAATATATCTTTTCCCACTTTCTTAGAATGCTATTACATTTTTAATATAAAATTTGTCCTTTGTAAGTTCTAGATACTGGTCTGTTGTCAGATACACTGTTCGTAATATTTTCTCCCTGTCTATAGCTTGCATTTTCACGCTCTTCACAGAATCATTTGCAGAACAAGTTTTTATTTTCATGAGGCCCAATTTATGATTTTTTTAATGGGTCATGGTTTTTTTTTTTTTTTTAATAGATGCATGCTTTATTTATTTATTTATTTATTTATTTATTTATTTATTTGTTTTGTTTTATACATGCACTGGGTACAGTCAGAAGCGTGGGAGGGTGAGAGAATTCACCAGAGCCAGAGCGGAGAGCAGAGCAGGCAGAAGGACCGAAGTACACTGCTGAGGGGAGCAGCGGGTGGCAGGAGAGGTCTGCGCGCCATGTGGGACCCTCCTCCGGTGGCCGGGGAGCAGCCGGGGATCGAACCAGCGCCACAGAGGCTGCGGGCAGCTTCGCAACCCAGCGCTCAACCGCTGCGCCACCGGGGAGGCCCTAATGGGTCATGGTTTTGAAGTCTAAGAATATTTTGTCTATTCCTAACCCTTTAATCTCTTTTCGTTATTTTTTTTTCTAAAAACCTAAAGTCTTAAAATTTACATTTAAATCTCTGATCCACTATGAGTTAATTTTTGCCCATAGTTGTCCAATTACTCTAGTGCCCTTTAAGATTCAATTCTTTCTCTATTTAATTCCTTTTGCACATTTGTCAAAAACCAGACATATTTTTATGTGCCTTTTTCCTACGTTCTCTCTTCTGTGTTATTCACGTATGTGTCTTTCATCCAATATTACAATGTCTTCATTGTTGTACCTATACAAAAATTCTTGAAATCAATTAGAGTAATATTTTCTACTTTGTTCTTATTTTCAAAATTGCTCTCCTAGGACTTATACCTTTCCACACAAATTTTAAATAACCCCATCGATAATAGCATCAAAAAGAATAAAATAGGAAAGAATAAATTTAACCAAGAAAATGAAATATTTATATACTTTAAACTATAACACATTGATGAAAGATATTGAAGAAGATGCAAATAAATAGAAATATATCTTGAGTTCATGGATTAAAAGAATTAATACTTAAAGCAATCTATAGATTCAATGCAATCTCTATGAAAATTCCTGTGACATTTATTTAGATTGAAAAATAATCCTACAATTTATGTGGAAACACAAAGACTCTAAATAGCCAATAAAGTTTGAGAAAGAACAAAGCTGCAGGCATCACACTTCCTGATTTCAAACTATATTACAATGATATAGTAATTAATACAGTATAGTACTAGGATAAAAACAGACATGTAGACCAATGGAATAAAATAAGAACTCAGAAATATATTTTTGCCTATACAATCAATCAATATTTGACAAATCAGCCAAGAATCCTCAGTGCAAAAAGATAGTCTCTTCAATAAATGTTTGGAAAATTGCACTCAAAGTTATGAATTTGGACTATTTTACATTATTTATATCATTCACAAAAATTAACTTGAATGTACATGTGTGTTTGTGTGTGTGGTGGGGAGGCTATAGCCACAAACAAAATATTATTCAACCATAAGAAAGAAGGAAAGTCTGCCATTTATCATAAAATGAATGGAACTTGAAAGCATTATGCTAAGCAAAATAAGTCAGAGAAAGACAAATACTATATAATACCACTTATATGTGGAACTTAAAAATATGCAAATGGCACAGGTATATGAAAAAAAATGTTCACTATCACTTATAATCAGGGAAATGAAAATCAAAACCACAATGAGGGGCCTCCCTGGTGGTGCAAGGGGTTAAGCACAGTACTGTGAAGCTATCCGCAGCATCTGCAGCACAAGTTCCATCCCTGCCAGCCAGGGAGCAGCCCACATGGTGCAGCAGACCTCTCCTGTCTTGCCCGGTGCTCCCCTCAGCAGTGTATTTCAGTCATTCTGCCTGTTCTGCTCCCCACTCTGTCTCTGGTGAATCTTCTTACCGCCCCCCACACCTCTAGTCTGTACCCCAGTTCTTGTATACAAAAATAAATAAATCTTTACAAAAACACACAATGAGACACCACCTTACACCAGCAAGAATGGCACATATTAACAAAACTGGCAACAACAAATATTGGCGAGGATGTGGAGAAAAAGGAACTCTCCTACACTGCTGGTGGGAATGCAAACTGGTTCAACCACTATGAAAAGGTGTTTCCTAAGACTACTGAAATGGAGTTTCCTAAGACTATTGAAAATGGAGCTCCCGTATGAACCAGCAATTCCACTCCAAGGGATCTACCCAAAGGACACAAAAACATTAATTCAAAAGGATACTTGCACCTCTATGTTTATTGCAGCATTATTTACAATAGGTAAGATATGGAAACAACCCAATACCCAAAAATAGATGACTGGATCAAGAAGATGTGGTACATATACACAATGGAATACTATCCAGCAATCAAAAAGGATAAGCTCATGCAATTCACAGCAATTTTGATGGTACTGGAAGGGATTATGTTCAGTGAAATAATCCAGAAGGAAAAAGAAAAATGTCAGATGGTTTAATTTTTAGGAGGAATATAGGGAAACCAAATAAAGGATTAGAAAAAATGATAACAATAACTATTCAAGGGAGGTAAGAGCACAGGGACTATGGTGATGGATCATGAGTGAACTGGCAGTGGGAATTTTATTGGGAATACACCTGAGATGAGAAAGAAAACATTCTACAAAATGAACAATGATGTAAAGTATATATAAATAAAAAAGAAAAAAAATGGAATTCATACAGAGAGTAGATTGCTATTTATCAGGGATGGGAGGAAGGGATAGGAGAAGTGAGTGGAAGTGGTTAAAGGTTACAAACTTCCATTTTTATAATGAAGGAGTCTAGGGATGTATGTATAGCAGCGTAGTGACTATAGTTAACAACATTGTATATATTTAAAAGTTGCTAAGAAAGAGTAGATTTTTAAAATCACACACCAAAGATGTAATTATGTGAGATAATGGATGTTAATTAACTTTATTGTGGTAATCACTAACTATATATGTCTGTATATATAGTCATATTGCACCTTAAACTTACACAATATTATATATCAATTATATGTCAATAAAGCTGGAATTAAAAGCAAAAAAAATCACAAATCCATGTAATGGCATATGTGCAACAAATAATGTTCTTCATGACTGCACATTAATAAAATTTTGCTTGGGCCTCCCCGGTGGTGCAGCGGTTGAGCTGGGTTGCGAAGCTGCCCGCAGTCTCTGCAGCGCCAGTTTGATCCCCGACTGCTCCCCGGCCACCAGAGGAGGGTCCCACATGGCGCGCAGACCTCTCCTGCTGCCCGCTGCTCCCCTCAGCAGTGTACTTCGGTCCTTCTGCCTGCTCTGCTCCCTGTTCTGGCTCTGGTGAATTCTCTCACCCTCCCGCGCTTCTGACTGTACCCAGTGCTTGTATGTATAAATAAGTTAATTAAAAAAAATAAAAAATAAATAAAATTTTGCTTAAGTTAATCCTTCTTAATTTAGTGGCTAATAAACTGATTGCTGCTGTCTTATTGGAAACTCTAATACATTAGAAAAATGCTGAATCTGGAAAAAAGTCATGTTCCTGTGTACTATATATATAATTCATATACAGATAATTGTATATAAATACGTCACTTTACAATACAAGTAAATGACTCAGATGCTTTGAGTGTAAACAAACCAAGGAGCTAAGTAAATTAAATACTTCGGAAAATTGCCCTATCATGTTTGGGCAACTAACTTTAATTTTGTGTGTGGAATTAGATATTCACCACTTGACTTTGAAATTTTTAAGCCTGATAGGAAGAAAAAATTTCAGGGAAATACACTTGCATTTGTAGGTCCAAGTGGAGGAGGCTGGGCTTAAGAGTTGGTATGTACATTACTTTTCAAAAATCCTTCGACATCGGACCTCCCTGGTGGCGCAAGGTGTTAAGCCTCAGCGCTATGAAGCTATCCACAGGCACTGCAGCACCAGTTGGATCCCTGGCCAGGGAACTACACACATGGCATAACAGACCCCTCCTGTCTCAACCGCTGTTTCAGTCAGTCCACCTGTTCTGCTCCCCACTCTGTTTCTGGTGAATCCTCTCACACACACCCCACACCTCTGGCCTGTACCCCAGTTCTCATATGCATAAATAAATAAATCTTTAAAAAAATCCTTTGATATTAATTCCCTAGGGTTTCCATATTGAGTACCACAAACTTGTAGCTTAAAACTACAGAAATTTATTGTCTCATTGTTCTGAAAGCTAGGAATATGAAATCAAACATTTCCAGGGCCATGTTCTCTCTAGGGAAGAATCCTTATTACCATTTCTTAGCTTCTGGCAGTTGCCAGCAATCCCTGCCATTCCTTGGCTTATGGATGTATCACTCCAGTCTTTGCATCCATCATCACATGAACTTCCTTCTTGTGTGTCTCTAATTCTCTCTTTATAAGGACACCAATCATTTAATTTAGGACACACCTTAATCTAGAATGACCTCATTTTAACTAATTACATTTGCAAAGGCATTATTTCCAAATAAGGTTCTGTGTAAACATACATTTTGGGAACTCACAATTCAACATGTTTGCTTCCTGTTTTGGGGCATGTTCACATTTAGCTTCCTATTATCCTCCTTATGCAGTGAGTATTTTACTGATTAAGTAGCTTGTAGGCAACACTTCACTTGGAAGTTGCTCCTACAGTGTAAATTTCTGCAGTAACATCGTTTGAGTACAAATAACCACCACTTACAACACTCACTTCAGCTAGAAACCAGTTTATTTTAGCACTAGAATTCAACATTTCTCCTACTTTGTACTATCAAGGGATGTTTTCATGCCTCCACCCTCCCCCCCCCCGGGGTCTCATAGATGTTTTTAAATTGTTTAATTAAATAAATTGTAATTATTGAGTAATTAATTCAATTTCTCATGAAATTAATCAGACACCATTTAATAGAATTCCTTATAAACATGGAAATTTGATGCAGTCGTTCTAATTGTCCTCATATACAGGGATACATGCATGATTTTAGTTTTCATTTTGAAATTCTGGAGATAGTTAACTAGCCATTATAAGTGTATCTACTGACCTCCAAGGTTTGAATCACTGTTCCAAGGATTAATGACAAAGATTTCAGATTTGTGCAAATAGCAGTTAAATGTTTCATCTACTTACAATGGACAGGGATTCTCTAAATTATAGTTCACATCTCATCATCTATTCCTAATGATTATAGGTAAAGATTGCTGCTAGTAACAATAGCATGTTAGGTAGAAATTAGGTATGGAAAAGTTTTATTTTTCCTTCTCCAAAAATACTAAAATATTGTATATTTTATTAAACAGAGTATACTTAACTAATAGTTTATGCTTATCAACATATTAGAATGCTTTCACATGTTATTTTATCTAATAATGCCAATATTTTGTGTTGCAAAGGCAGGCATTATTTCCGATTATTTCATTGGCAAAAAACCCAGAAGCATATAGTGGTAAAAAGACTCATCCCTCCCCCAGCTGGATAGTGCAAAGCAGAGCTGAAACTTCAATCAGGATCATCAGCATGCACATCCACTGTTCTTTCCTTTGTCACAGTTAAATGTGGGCTAATAGAGATTCGTGAAGCACTGTCCATCACAGTTGGGCACTGCTACAAGCTTGAAAGAGGAGCATTGAGATGAAGTTTAGAGAAGTCTAGGCTTTAATTTCAACAGTTGTCTGACATTAGACATTTGTAAATGGGTGTGATATTTGCCCTATTTCTCTCAAGGTTGAAAGGAGGAAGCAGACACAGAAACATGAAATATGTGGGTAGGAAGAGAAGTGTGCATGTGTCAACTCTGAGATTCCTGTTGGGCACAGCTTGCAACGACTTTTGCAGAGACCCCCCCCCCTTCCTTTAAAAATAGTTTCTCTCCCCTTACACATCAGCTAAATGAATTGTTTCAAGTGATCAACATTCCTTGCTCAAAAGACACCAAGTTTATAGTCTAGTAGGGAAGGTAGACATTAAACAAATATTTTCACCAAAGAATGATGACAGTAAGGGACTACCAAAGAAGAATATTGTGTTAAGTACTACCATTCATTCATTCATTCATTCATTTATCTGTCCTTTACTTCTAATTCATTCAAAATCACTATTCAACAGGGATCCTGAACTATGAGAGGAGGGGGCCCTAGGAAGTCAAGGTGGTTAAAAGAGAATGACATTAAATCAGAGAGCCCATTTTAATTCCTTTCTAATTTGGCAGATTTGGAAGTGACTAGTTGCTCTCACTTTCCAAGCCACTAATGTCTTACCTTGCTTATTATTCTCTTTGTATATGAAGCAATTGCACTGATTTTCTCTTGGAAGATATTTGGGAAAATTAGAAATAAATTCTTTTTTTTCTTTTCATGGATTTTAATCTGGAAGACACATTGTAAAAGGAAAGAAAACCATATATATATATATATATATATACACACACATATACACACACACATATATACACACATATGTATATATACACACATATATAAATGTGCACACACACATATATATAAATGTATACACATATATCTCACACTAGTATAAAAGGAAAACTCAATTAAAAGATAAATTACAGTTTGTTTATTATTAAACATATTGTTAAAATGCGATTGCCGTGGATCTAACATGATGAAGCACAGTGGATGGACAAAATCCATCTGTACAAAAGGCAACATATTAAATGGTTTTGAATCAAGTTTCCCTTGCTAGCACTAAAAAATGACATTTTTACATGGGACATAAAACAACTAACAAATGAAGCTATAATCATGGGATTATTAGCAAATAAACTTGCTTGGATTTATAGAGCCATAGATCTGTTGGGAAACATCCACATGGTAAGTGGGGAAAAAAAGGATTCATATGAATTTATATAAAATTTCACAGTGCAATGAATGATTTATTACAACTTTATTTGTATTAACCCAGCTGGTGAACAATTTGGATATGTAACCCTGCGTGTGAGAAATGCTTTATAAATGCCACACATCTCTGTTATGCAGTAATGCCTGCTTGCCAGAACAACATTCTACTACAGAAGGTCCGTGCCAACAGGAATAAAGAAGGGAAATGACATCTTACTTGTAGTAAAGAAACTGCAGTGCAAACAATAACAACAATCAAGCAATCACAGAAGTGATTAAGCAGTAAGAATCCGTTCTAAATGACTGACCGAGCTGAACCTATAAAATATGACCATTACTTCTCACCCAGACAAAAAGAAACTTTGTTTGAAATGCCTGTCCTCTAAGTTTCTGCTTTAAAAGTCTTTTAATCACCAGCTGTCTTTCTACTATTTATTACCAGAAAATACCAAAATGATTCAGCCTCTTTAATAGTATCCTCACTGACTTTCAACTCTGGTGAGGAAGAAACTACAGTGAACTATTCAGTTTCAAATTCCAAAGGGGAGGACCACAAATGTCAAATGAAAGGGCTGATTTCTCTATGTTCCCTATATATTTTTTAAAATTTCTCTACCTAGAACTTCAAGGTACCTGTTAACCCAGTGAATGGATTTAAAAATATTTGTGTCTTTCAGTTGAGGGATCCACAACAATGAGACCCAATATTGATGGACCTCAGTTTCTCCATGTAAAACAGAAACTAGTTAACAATGATTGGTTTTTCTAAAGTTTCAGGGCTGCATAAATACTTGGAGAATTTTCTCACATTGGGGGATTTTTCTATTCTTAAGAGAGAGAATTCAAGTAAAAAAAAAATCCCTGAAAAAAGATGGCCAAATTTCTGAGTCAAGATTGAATTAATCAATCAGGTGTAACGTGATAATTTACTGAATCAAACAGATGGCATCTATTAGCATGTTAAAGGAAAATTAAATATGAAGAGGAAGACATTTAGAGAGCAATAAAGTGTTCATGTTCATATATTTTATGCCTAAATAAATTCAATCTTCAACTCAGTCTAGGGATAGAAAGTATAAGAACAACTTGTTCATAGACAGCATTTTTCCTGTTCTGAAATACTGGTTCATCTACTTACTTTGATTAATCTATCTTAGAACTAGGCTGATCACTTTGAAAGTAATGAAAATAATTTGTTGACATAAATTCAGTTATTGTAATCTTTCAGTAAAAATGGTAATAATGAGAAAACTGCTTACAAAGTTTAACATCTGGATAGTCAATGTAAAAAGGATACCTTCAGAATGATTAAAACAAGAAAATTTAAAAGATACAAGCACAATGATTAAAATGAACCTAAATGCTTTTTTCACTTTTTCTTGCACTGATTTATCAGTTTCCTAGAGTTTTCATAACAAATCACTATAAATATGGCATCTTCAAACAACAGAAATTTATTCTCTCACAATTCTGGGGGCTAGAAATCTGATATAAAAGTAACAAGGGTCCATCTGCACTCTGAGGACTTAAGAGAAGTATCTGTTACCGCTTTCTTATTCTGGTGGCTGCAAGTATCCCTTTGCTTGTGGCAGCGTTACTCTAGAGTCTGCTTACCTCTGACTTCAAATGATCTTCTCTCTCTCTCTCTCTCTCTCTCTCTCTCTCTCTCTCTCTCTCTCTGTGTGTGTGTGTGTGTGTGTGTATTCCTTTTTGACACTCTCCTTGGATTTAGGACCTACCATAATTCCAATATGACCTCACCTCCATCAATACCTTAAACACAACTGCAAAGACTATTTCCAAACAAGGTCACAGTTCTGAGGACTGGATAAAGATTATTGGGAGGACATTATTCAGCCTACCACAATTGTATTTCAATTTTCCATGAATCACATACCCCTCTCTGAGCTAACCAGTAGGAAAATTAAAAAGATGGGAAATTCATCTTCCTCGGAGTGGTGATATTGAAGTTTACATAATTCCAACTGACTACTATTAAAAATATAGCCTAGACTGCTTTGAAATTTTTGTTGTTGTTAAAGACAACTTAAGTGTATCTCTATGCATACCTAAAACTTATGTTATAATGCAATGTTGCTTCAGTAAAAATAAAGTGTATCTTGTTTGTACACTGCCATCTTGCCCAACAAAGGACTGCTTTGCAGGTACCAGCTACTATCTGTGCTGCTACCCTGAGGATTGCTTTACTACTTATGACATTTCTGATTGGTTTCAGCAAAGCTAAGGCATTTCAGAATGCATGTCCTTTTTACAAGCAGCTCCAAAGATTTAGGAATTAAGCATAAAATATTGTCCTATAGGAAAAGATTTCTAATTATAAGGGTAATTATCTGAATAATATTAGATTTAGATTATAGAAACTGCCTGTGTTTTGGAGGACTATAGGAAAGTCAAGTCATGTCTAATATACAAAATGACACAACTCATGAAACTTGGTTGTAGAAATTAATAAATCCATATTTAAGAAATATTTTGCATTTATTTAAAGATGATGTTTGACATATTCAAAGTTGTGGTACTCTGGACAAAAGCACAAACTATATCATAATTATCCATAGGATATCTATACATATGATATCTAAAGACAAACATAAAGTGGTAAGGAGCATATCTAGGAGTATATTTTTACTTGAATACTAACAGAAAGACAAAGGAGAGGCAGTGACATATGCTGAACCTGATCTAATTCTTGATTTTTACTTAAAGAATGTTCTGGACAACTTCTCCCAACTAATCTCTGCCAAATCCAGTCACAACCAGAACAGTTCCTAAATGTAAAAGGCAGTAGGAAGAAGTTCTACAGAATTATGTGTATTTCCCTATGTCATTTAAAATCACCTCTATGTAGAAATCAGTGTGTTTCCATGTCCCTAAAACATCAATGATCGTTCATTCAGTTTGTCCCTGTAGATCCTTACAATCCCATTTGCTCATAATAAAAAGTAAAAAATGAGAATACAGGGTTTCTCTTGCCTGTTCATCTCTATATATCTTGAGGGGAAGATGTATTAATTCAACATAGGTGAACAGCTGTCTATTTTGAGCTTTATAGTTAAATTGGTCACTAAGTCTTACATTTCTTCTTTAAAATAGTGTGGCTTTTTTCTATAAAGAAATATAAAACCACTTTAATGTACTTTTAATAAATTAAAACTAGGTTCAATAATTTCCATAATGAAAAGCAAATTAAATGTTATCACTGAATAGGATTATTGATCTAGAAATGCATGAAGCAGACACAAGTGAGTTTAAAGTTTTATATATAAAAGATATTTTAAGAACTTGAATACACTCAATTTTTCAATAGTTCAGGAAAGACTGCCACTCTCTTTTGCAATATTGCCTTTATATGTATCAGCCATCACATCTGTCTTTACAACCCACTGATCCCATTTTGATAGAATATTGGAATCTCAAGGTTTGGAGGAATCTAAAGGTCATCAAGTCTACATTCTCCAGAATTCCCACAGAGCGGTTGTTCAGATTGAATTATTTGATCATTTTCAGTGACAGAGAACTATCTCTCTCAGGACAGATGGTTCCTTTTGCCCAAAATTGATTATTAGAAATATGTTCTAAAGAAGCATATGATGGAGACCATTTTCAACATCCTGCACACTCTTACTGAAATTTCTTATTTTCTTTATGGCTTTTAAACAAGTCATCTAGAGCAAGTGACCTATTTAAATGAACCATTACCAAAATCCAGTGTAGTGAAATAGTCTCTCTTTCTCTATTTGTCTGATATTCCCACTAATACCCTAAGAAAAAAATTACTTTTAATTTTTAAATTTCAACACAGAGAAATTTACTTTCTGTAAAATTTTATGAGAATTCACAAATGAATATAGTAACTTAATTGCCATTATAGCCCAAATTTAGAATGACTTCACCAATCCCAAAATATGTTTGGCCTCCTGCTGCTCCTTTGCTGTCAATCTCTTCCCAATCACTAACCCTTAATAACTACTGATTACTGTTAATAACTAACAATAACTGTCTTCCCTACCAACATTTTTGCCTTTTCTAGGATGACACATAAATGAAATTATGTATTTGTTGCCTTTTGAGCCTGGTTTCTCTCACTTAGAAAAGTATTTGTGAGGTCCTTTCATACTGCTGAATGTTACTTCTTCTTGCCTAGTAGTATTCTAGTGCATGAATGCATGATAATTATTAGATTCCTTACAGCTGAAGGAAATAAGATTGATTCATTCTTGACAATTCTGAACAATGTTGCTGAAACATTCACATACAGTATCTGTGTATATATAGTTTTAAATTCTTTTGAATGAATACTTGAGGGGCAGGGTCCTGAGTCATTTGGCAATTATATATCTAACTTTATCAGAAATTGGAAAACTTCTTCCCAAAGTTGTGGAATCGCTTTTTCAAACTCACAAGCAATGTATTAGTCCTATAATTTTGTTCCTTTTTTAGTTTTGTAACTATAATGATCCTTGGTTTCAAACTATATTACAAATCTTTGGTAATTAAAATGTGGTATTGGTATAAAAATGAACACATAATCCAATGAAACAAAATAGGGAGTACATGTAATAGACTCATATATATGGTCAATTAAATTACAAGAAATATCCAAGCATATATAATGTGGAAAGAACAATCTCTTCAATAAACAGTGTTGGGAAAACTGAAAAGCCACATACAATAGAATAAAACTAGACCATTTTCTTAAACTTTATGCCCAAATTAACTTAATGGGTAAAATACTTACACATAAGACTTGAAATCACAAAACTCAAGAGAAAAATACAGGTGGTGAGCTCCTTGATATATCTGGTGATAATTTTTTGGCTCTGACTCTTCAAGCAGAGGAAACAAAAGTAGAAATAACATGTGAGACTTCACTGAACTAAAAATTCTTCTACATAGCAAAGGTAACCATTAACAAAATGAAAAAGCAACTTACTAAATGAGGGACATATTTGCAAATCATTTACCTGATAAGGGATAAATATCCATCATATATAAAAAATGATAAAATTCAATAGTAAAGAAAAAAAGAAAAAGAAATTCTGATTAGAATTTAACCAAAGAAGATATGTAAGTGGTCAACAGATATAAGAAAAGATGCTCAACATCACTAAGATTCAGGGAAATTCACATCAAAATCACAATTATATTACTTCACACTCATTAGAATGACTATTATAAAAAAAGACAGGAAATAAATGTTGGTGAGGGCCTCCCTGGTGGTGCAGGCAGTTGTGCTTTGAAGCTGTCCGCAACCTCCACAGCGCGGGTTCTATCCCAGCCTGCTAGTGAGAATCCCACATGGTGTGGCAGACCTCTCCTGTCTCTCCCGCTGCTCCCCTTAGCAGTGTATTTCGTTAGTCTGCCTGTTCTGCTGCCTGTTCTGTCTCTGGCGAATCCTCTCACCCTTCCACACATCCGGCCTATACCCCGGTTCTTGTATAAAAATAAATAAATCTCAAGAAAAAAAGAAATAAATGTTGGTGAGGTTATGGAGGAAAGGGAACTCTTGTGAAATTTTGGGATTGTAAATTGGTACAGTGACTATGGGAAACAGTCTGCAGAATTCTCAAAAAATTAGAAACATTACTACCAAAATACAGAAACATCCTAAGTATTGTTCAATGAATAAAGAAATTGTGAAATACATACAAATACACACATATAGAGAGGAATATTATTCAGCTATAAAAAAGAATAAAATGTAACTATAACAATATGGGCCAAGTGAAATAAATCAGACAGACAAATACTATATGATCTTACTTACAAGTGGAATCCAAGAAAAACCCAAGATCTTATATACAGAGAATAGATTGGCTGTTGTCAGAAGTGGGGAACTGAAGGGTTTGTAAAATGATTGAAGAGGATCAAAAGGTACAAATTTCCAGTTACAAAATGAAGACATGGGTATGTTTTGGAAAGAATGATGACCATAGATCATTATAGTTAATCATACTGTGTTGCATATTTGAAAGTTGTGAAGATAGTATATCTTAAAAATTTTCAACACAAGACAAAAGCTTTATAGATATTGTAATTCTGGTGATGGATTTTTAACTAGACTTATTGTTCATGTTGCAAATCTGAAAGTAACAAAATGTTTTATGTCAATTAAAAGTTGTTTTACCTATTCTAATTCACTTGCCACTCCACATGTTTTACAAGAAACTTGCTGATATATGCAAAAGTAATATTCAAGGATTTTGATTATGACTGACTTAACTCTATGAATCAATTTTGAGACAGTTGACATTGATATTGAACATATGAAACCATGAACATACGAAACTCTAGGTTAAGACCACCTTAGATTAAAAAAAAAAATCTAGACAAGGAAATAATGGTTGTCCAATAAAAATATATCTAAAAAATAAAAGTACTATGAGCATGGAATTGATCCATGAGAAAAATAAAAGACACTTGGAGAAGGAATTTTTCATTAGACATTCATTTCTCTACAAGTATTTGAAATTGACTGACTAGTGTACCTTCTCCCACATGTGATTTGAAAATCAGGGTACCATCAAAATGTCCAGATCATTTTATTATTTTATAATAAAACAGAACCCTAAGATCGCTATAAAAATTCCTTGAACTAACACATTTAGAAAGATCATACAATACAGGTAAATAACAAAAATTCTCTCCAATTTCTCCAATATTGAACAATTGGGAATTTAAGTATATAGATAACACTTGATATAATAGCACCAAAAATGAAATGCCTAGGTATATAGCTAACAAAATATGTATGCAATTCTGTGCTGAAAACTGAAAAACTCTGATGAAGATACAGACCAGTTCCACATCTGTGGAATCTTTATTAAGCCCTAAGACAGAATTAATCAATGTTTGTGAAAGTGACTTCAAATTAAATCCTTTGGCACTGATACTAGGAAGAAGAAAGGCAGGATTATAATGAAATAAGTCAACTACACAAATGAAAAAAAAATTACTCTGAAATTGTCATAGCAAGGGAGTCAGCCACCACCACTCATGTTTGGTGAATACCCAAAGGCAGAGGGGTAGAGGCAAAATTTTATAGCAGGAAAAGGGAAGGTTTCAGGTTTGCTCTGGATGGAAGCCTTTGGCATAGGGAAGGTGAAAATTGCCTAAAAATGAAACACTGTTTCCTGTGTGACTGGTTTGGGAAGCATAGTTGTCTTTATCTGAATCGTCCTGGGTTGGAAGCAGGGGCAAAAAAAATTAGGGAAGCTGGCTTCATTGCCCAATTCCTGACTGTTTTGGGCCCATTGCTGAGAAATTGCTTGTCTTCCTTGGGTGGTTACTGCAGAAATTGGGGATCAGGGTTCTATTGTCATATATCGACTATTGTCGATTCGTGTATTCAATCTCTCAGGTGGAATTCTTAGCAGACACTAGGAATCCTCAGCCATATGATGGCATAGGGAAAGAATATTCTAGGCATAGGGTAATATTATATATTAAAAATATATTTTAGTGTTATATCTTGAAGGATTAGAAGTGCTACATGTTATAAAAATGTTAATAGTGATGACATTGCATGGTAAGTGTATTATAGAAATTTAATCAAGTCTACATTTTTTTAGTACAAAGCACTCATCTTTCCACATTTTCCTTTGTATTTTCCTTACTCTGAGATTGAGATTGCTGCCAGAGACTTTTGCATTCTATTTTTACCCCTTCCACACATGGTTTATACTCACATTCTAACAATACCGTCAATCATTTGAATGTATAAAAGTCCCCTCTCCTTTCCCCACACAGAAATTATTTAGTCCACACAAAGCTAGCTCAACTGTCAAATCCTAAAAGAATCATCAAATCTTCATCAGGTTCTCTGTAGCTTTACTTTTTGAAAATAGGAGGACAATAATCATTTCTATTGTATATTGTCAAAAGAAAAATTTTGATGCCAAATTACATGTCATTCTCTTCAATAAGGGACAGCTATGAAAACTGCTGGTTAGAAGAATTATTTATGGTAAAAGGATAGAATGCTCATTGTTTGGAAAGTGTGACAGTTGCCATTGCTTCTTTGCTACAGCTTGTGATATTTCTACTTTGGTCTTCCTATGGCTGGTTAGTTTTTTACCTTTAAACCACTAGTGACACTTAAATTTTTCTGCAGATTCTAATGATGTACTGAGAGTATGAGATAAATAAATCAATAAAGTGGCTTTTATCTTAAGGAGAAGAGAAAATTCTTGTCCACCATTACATGAAACTTGAAAAACACTAGATGATTTTTTTTTCCTTTAACAAGTCCCATCTTACCTAAATAGAGTAGTATCTCTACTGTCTTCTCTGGCCCAGTTTCCTTACTCACATTTGCTTTCCAATAACACCTCCCATGTAAAATTTTAATTAATGACCCTCTTCCCCCCATAGTTAGAGGTACAGGATATCCAGTTCATCCTTAGACCATTTCCTTCAGGTTTTCATTGTCTGAAATACAGGGTTCTAGGATTGAAATGACATTGCAGCCTTGGGTGAGTTGGGATTGCACATTACTTTTTCATTGTGTCATCAGTAAGACACATATGATTTTCTACAACACTGTACAATCAAACCCACAGTTGAGGTGTCCCTGTGCATGTACAGGAACAACAAAAGGTAAGCACAACTTGCATCTGTTATGTGTCTACAGTTAGAAACTCATTCATTTCCCTGTTCAGGGTCCTCCATAGTGCACCCCTGGCTTCTAGTGCACCTTGAGGTCTGTGGCTAGGCCATCTCCACAATCTCATCTCTTCTGTGTTTGCCTATGACTCAGATTTCAGATTAAATTCTTGGAAATTCTCTCTCCCTACATTCCAAGGTCCTCACTTCATATTAATATCCAGTGCCCTCCCGTAGTATCAGACAGTGCTATTATAAAGCTCATTTGATTTTACTTACAAAGACAACAACCAAAGGACTGATTCTTTGACATCAGTGATGCCAAGATATTCATTTTTTTTCAATACACACATGGAACATCACCAGAACATTCCAGAACATTTGGGTTTAACAAAAAACTTTTGAGTTCCACTTTATGATCCTTTCAATAGCTTACATGTAAATTTTTCCTGTCATCTTCCATTTCCTACTACTGATTACCATGGGGATCTGCTTGAATAGGAATATCCACGTATTTACAGGAAATAACTTGTAGTTACTTAAAAATCAAAATATATAGTTAGACTAAAAACACATTTTTCTATCATGTAAACTTTACAGGAATATAACTTAACCCAAAATAGGGAGCCTATTTTATGTGACCTGTCATATCAAGCAGTCCTCCTGAGTAGCAGTGCCAAAACATTGGTGTTTCAGAATAGGACTCTGCTTTGAAAAGATTCATAAAATTGACAAATCTCTAGCAAACCTTACAAGGAAAGAAAGAAAGTAGACACAAAATAGTGATATCAAGAATTAAACAGGAGATATCATTAAGAGATGAAAAGAATAAAAAGGGAAAGCTATGGACAAATTTACATGGATAGATTTCACACCATAGATGAAATGTACCAATTCCTCAAATAATACAAAATACTACAACTCATCCAATATGAAACTTAATATACAAATAGTCTTATATTGTTAGGAAATTGAATTCACCATTTAAAAACATCTAAAAAGGAAATATCCAGTCTTAGATATTTTTATTGGAAAATTCTACCAAACAATTTAAGCAGAATTAACACAGATTTTACACAATCTTTTTCTAAAAATAGGTGAGGGGTATTATTTCTCAATTAATCTTTTGAGACTAATGTTAATCTGATACAGAGCCAGATAAAGCAATAATAACAAAAGAAAGAGAAAGATGAAAATGAAAGATTTATTCCTCTCTTATAAATGCAGAATTCAAAAACATTAAAAAAAAAAAACAACCAAGAACTATGTATGACCAAGTGGAAATCATTCCAGTGATATGGAGTGGGTTCAGTATTTGAAAATCAATTCCTATAGTATGCCATATTAACAAGTTAAAGAAGAAAAATCATATGCTAATATTTGACAGAAAAGCATTTGACAAAATTCAACATGCTTTTGTAATAAAAAATTCTCTGCAAACTAGAAATAGAGAGAAACTTCTCAACTTGAAAAAGAATGTCACCAAAACCTACAGTTAACATTATACTACATCACATAATGGTGAAAGACTGAGTGCTTTCCCTCTGAGAGCAGGAACAAGGCACAGATGTATACCCTCATCATTCTTCTTCAACACACTACTAGAAATACTGTCAGAACAAAAGCAAAAAAGGAAATGAAATCATCCAGATCAGATAGAAGAAAACCAACTGTCCCCACTTGGAAATGTCATGGTTACCTATGTTGTAAACCCAAATACTCTACAAAAATTCTCGAAGTAATTGGTTCAAAAATTTCATAGGAGTTAAGATGAACACATGCAACAAATTAATCACATTTCTATTCACAAACAAGGAACATATAGAACCTGAAATTCAAAACACAATACCATTTATAATTGCTCCAAACAAAATGAAACATAAACATCTATCTTACAAAGCATGTGCAGAATCTGCATCCTAGAAATGACAAGCTGCTGATGAAAAAAACAAAGATTGAAATAAATGGAAAGATACATAGTGTTCATGGATTGGAAACCTCAATATCATAAAGACATTATTTAGTCCAATTGATCTATAGATCGAATGTAACCTGTCAAAATCCCAGCAAGCATTTTTATAGGCATAAACAAGTTTATTCTAAAATCTGTAGTGAAAGGCATAGGGTCCAGAAGAACTAAAACAAATTTGCATAACAAGAATAAAGGAGGACTAAATTTAATTTTGAGATATATATATATATATAAAATCAAGGTAGTATAATATTGGTAAATGGATAGACACAAAGATCAATGGAACAGAATAGAGAGCTTGGAAATAACCCACACAAAAATTCCCCAGAGTGATTTCTGACAGAGGCGCAAATGCAATTCAATTGGTTAAGGATAGCCTTTTCAATTAATAGTGATGAAGAAATTGGAAATCCATGGGTCAAAAATTAACTCAAAAGGGCTCATGGACACAGAAGTAAAATGTAAAACTATAAAATTTTCATGAAGTAAATAAAAGAGACATCAGGAGCTAGGATGAAGCAGAGTTCTTTGATGATTCCAAAAACACAGTCCTTAAGAAAAAGACTGATAAATTGGACCTCATCTAAATGAAAAATTTTGCTGTACCAAAGACTATGCGATGTGGATGAAAACACAAGATATAAATTGAGAGAAAAATATTTGCAAACAATATATCTAACAAAGGACTGGAATCTAGAATATAAAGAACTGCAAAAATTAAAAGTAAAAAACAGACCAATAAAACACTATCCATTAGAAAATATTTTCTGCAAAAGAGAGCAAGACATTACATGACAAATAAACACATGAAAAGATGTCTAACACTATCAACTCTTAGGAGAATGCAAATCACTTTGCATGTAAGTCATTGGGTGTACAGAATGAAGTGTCTTAAATGACTATCAAAACGTTGTGATTACACAGTATTATTTCTTTTAAAAATATTGAGGAAACATTGGTTTGCATCATTGTATGTGATTAAGAGGTATTAGCTCACCCCCTTTAGGTGTGAGCTATGGGTACCAAGATACCCATAGTCCTCCACCATAGTCCACTATTTCTTAAAACTACATGCAAGTCTATCTAAACTACATGCAAGTCTATACCTCAAAATTTAAAACATGCATACAAAAAGAATTTACTTAGCAGAATTCATACTCAAATATGTCACATTTCGAAAGTTAGTATGTTGCAGATCATGAACCTACTGCTGATGGGGAAATGTGTTTCATAAAAGAATAGTTACATTGGTGTACATATTTTAATCCTTATACACAGCCTTGATTATGCATGCATTTGTTCTGAATTATCTTTACAATAAATGAAACAAAGCAGTATGGAAAAATGATTATAGAAAATTCTGATTTGTGCATGTCTCCTAGCATAAAATTGTATATTTTAGACCCTGTCCTCTATAGCATGATGGGTATATGGCATGGAATTAGATACCAAGAAGAGCACAGGCACACGTATCTTTTTGTAACATGTAAAGAATATTGGGCTGTGCCATGCCCCAGAATAGGTTGTGGCTTTTTTAATTCATGCTTCTGTTATGACTTTTGTTTTATGATAATAAATGAAAACAGTTACTAAATATTTTAGTAAGTGTAATGAAAAATAAAATTACTTGTTTTTAGGATGTTTAAATTCAGTATTATTTCAATACTGCAAGACAATTGGTGGCAAAAAGCATAAGCTATGGTATCAAGAAGTCTTGGGTTATAATCTGAACTAAAGCTGCACCTTGCCCAGCGAGTAGCTGGTGCTTCTCCACTGAAAAATGATGATAGAAGAGTCCTTCCTTAGTCAGAACTGCAGCCACAAGACCAGACCTTCCCCCTAGATTCCGCCTTTGTCCACTGAATTACCTTAGAGACTTGCAGAAATTAATTGATGTGGTATTTGAAATCTCTACTCTGTTACACTTCTCTATGTGTCTATTCTTATGCTAAGACAACACAATGGGATTACAGCAGGTATATAAACAGTAGGTGTATATTAAGTCTTCAAACCAGAGAATGTTAATTCTCCAACTAAAGTTTTTGATCAGATTATCTTGGCTATCCTAAGTTTTCTAAATTTTGATATAAATTTTAGCATTATAGTTTTAATTCCTATAAGTCTATAAAAGTAATAATAAATATCAATCTTTATTGATATTTAAAAAATTGACATTTAAAAATATCGAGTGCTTTAGTCCATGAACTTCTATTTATTCAAGTGTTTTTTTAATTTTTATTGTATTTGATAGCCTTTACTAAAAAGATTTTATATACTTTGTTCAAATATCTAAATATCTTGTTTTATAATGCTATTTACAAATATTTTTATTTTTTTCCTACTCTATAGAAATACTACTAATTTCATAATTAATTAAATCCCAATTGCATCATTACTGTCTTGGTGTCCAGGTCTCAGTTTCTCCACCTATGAAATGGAGATAATAATAACACAAAACTCTTATGGTTGCTATGAGGGTTAAATGAGTTATTATATAAAATTCATTACCAGAACATTGTCCAATTTAGAGCAATGCTCAATGAATGCTAGTCATTATTGCTTTTATTCAACCTCCAGAATAAATACTTCCAGGGAAGCATTCTCATTTTCAAGGACTAAGGTCAGCCAGCATCTGCAATAACTTGCCTTCGGAAGGAAAGTGCTATTTACTGAAATAAGACTCTCATTTGGGCTACGAGTAGTTACACAATCACATTTTTTAGCAAGACCAAGGTCATTAATAAAGTTGTTTTACTGTCTGACCTCAATTTAAAGGATGATTCCAATGCAAAGAGTTCCTTTCCTGCATTGTTCAACGTCTAGAAGGCATTTGTTATTAAACAGGTCCTCAGAGGATGCTGAAAGTCCTGGACATAGGAGTTGGAAGGAAGACATACTTCTCTTTTGACATTTAAGGCAAAATCAAATCTGCTAATAGTTAACAAAGAGAACTATAACTTGAAAGCCAATGGCAAGGCTGAGGTCTAATACTAGGATGCAAAAACAGTGTATGTTTGAAAATTTCATATGTACAGAGATTTCACTTAAGTTATACAGCCTCATCCTCATCTCTTAAGATTTCCAGATCCCATATTAGAGCGTTCTCGACTATTTCAAGATTTGAGAGAAAGAAACCTAAAAAGATTAAGTTTGTTTTCTTTGACAGTATGGATTGTTAAGTGTCACCAGAATATTTACCTACAATGTGCTACTTCTTCCTCATAGTCTCAGATTGTTTTTTTGTCATCGAAGCAAAATGTGGTGCTGTGACACTTTGTCAATTAGATCTGGAAAGATAATGATTAAATATTATTGTCTGATTAAGATCAGTGTCCCACATGCATGATTCATGGTAAATTCTCCTTTCCAAACAATAACTGCAAA